GGGTTAGTCATTCCCAAAGAGAATGTTTACTCTTGTATTTTATTTTATGCATTTTCTCTATAAAGTTATTTAAAGGGCTTATTTTGCTGTGTTATATATGAATCTCAGTGTGTTTTAAGCTTGATTTAATTTTTTGATAAAAAGAGTATTTTTGTGTGTTTATTTGTAAAGGGTTATGTAATGTAAAGATCACAAAGATTGATTTAGTTTTTTTATTTTTCAGTTACAAAGGAATAATTTTATGGATTTTGTTTGATGTTGAAGAGTTTGATCAGTATGTATTGTGATTAAAGGAGTCATTTTGATTCTCTTTACTTTGCATAGCATCGGTTTTGTTTTACCATCTAACTATTAAACTTTTTCCAGTGTTAAAAGATTTTTTAACAGGAGCTTTTTTGAAATTTCTTTAATTAAAATGATTATGTAGTCGTCTATGTTTAAGGTTCACTGATTAATCTGAAATGATTTATTGTATTTTATGCATTGTGAATTTTATTTTTGCGTAAAAAGCATTATAAATTTATTAAATGGCTTTTATTTGTGTTTTGTTTTGTTGTCTGTGTTGCGTGTGTTTAGCGGATCGAGAAAAGGATATAATACTCTTTGACAAGTACCTATTTGTAAGCCCCCCAGTGGCACAGCGGTATGTGTGCGGATTTACAAAGCCAGAAACCGGGTTTTGATACCCGTGGTGGGCAGAGCACAGATAGCCCATTGTGTAGCTTTGTGCTTAAATTCAAACAAAACCTATTTGTAAATTCAATAGGTTTTAATGTAGAGGGGAAGGAAAAAATGTGGTATGCAGGTATACCATGCGATTTCTACATTCTTATTTTAATGTAGGTTTAAACATTCAAAAAAAGTTATGTAGATGAATGTGCAATTTTCATATAAGTCGTGATCAAAGAAGTTGATAAGTTGCTTCCATAATAGCTACATTTGTTCTCAAGCCATTCCCTTGAGGTAGCACCTCATGTATCAAAATCATTAACAAGGACGCATTCTAAAATTTATTGCTCTCACTCAATATTGACATGCCCTGTTCCTAAAGGTACCTTTTGTGCTCATTAACTTCTAGTATTGCTTCATTGTGGGCTCAATACACTCAATGGCCCAAAGGAGCATTAAGATTGAAAAATACAGTATAGCAACTTTTTTGAGAGATTGGCACTTGTGATAGGTGTCTTACAGTTTACTAAATATGGATGCAGCAACTTTTTGCTTTTAAAATAAAATCACTGTAAAAACACAATGTTTAAATAGAAACAAATTTATTTTATCTAGCAAGATTTCAAGCAACCACCATTCTTCAAGCTTAATATGAAAATTAAATTAAGCCTGACGATGAATAGTTGCTTAAAGCATCACAAGATAAAATAATTAGTTTCGATTTCAATGTTTTGTTTTAAAATGATTTTATTTTATTGCAATTATCTCCGAACGTTGTACAAATCCAATTATTCTCTAAACATTTTTTCTTTTGTCTGGAATCCATCTTAGAAATGCCATCAAAGTCAACAAAGCGTTCCAGGTTTATACATATAATGGTAATGAACAATCATGTGGATAGCGTTAGTCACCCTGGGTAAGTATGATGCTACCAGTAAAACTAAGTAATGTGGTGAGTTTTATTTGGCCTGGAATAGCATCTCCAATTGAATCGGTCAGCCTGGAATAAATCTTGAGGATAAAATGTCAGCTTACCAATCTACCTCCCCAGTAAAGGTGGGCTGTCTGTCTTCCAAAGGTGATATACACACCTTCGTTGCTTTGTGTTGTTTAAATAAAAATTGTTTCATTGCGTCTTAGCAGCGACTCAGTTAGTCTTGGCGGAACTCTTCGTAATATATCTTGCCAAATCTCCCACTAGATAGTGAACCTACCTAGAGATAAGTTTTACCTGAAAATACCACACGTCTAAGTACAACTTATCGCTACTCGATTTGAATTCTTACAACTCTGTAATTTATAAAGACACAGTTAGTAAGAAATACATTTGCATAATTAACACTAACATCAAGCAAGGAGCTAGATCAATGAGACCTATCTGTAATTTATAAAGACACAGTTAGTAAGAAATACATTTGCATAATTAACACTAACATCAAGCAAGGAGCTAGATCAATGAGACCTATCTGTAATTTATAAAGACACAGTTAGTAAGAAATACATTTGCATAATTAACACTAACATCAAGCAAGGAGCTAGATCAATGAGACCTATCACAGAATCGTAGCATCAGTTAGTTAAGTTACAGCATACAACTAATACTAATACTTACAATCCGCAATTATATTTATATTTCAAAACAATATAACAATATAATTGTGCAACAGTATTACTGTGGAAGTTGTAGGACTGCTTAGGTCTAAAATGTTTTGTGCATTTTTAGTAATAAACAACAAATATAATGTATTCGATTTAAACCTATGACTTACAGCAAGAAAACTGGTTGTCTTTGAAAACTGTGAATACAATAATAATTGAGCATCCTTCTTATGCAAGTGTTGTTTACTAACACCATTTAAGGGCAGTTACGTATATTAAAGGTATAAGGGGGTGTATTTCTAATTAGACAAAGACATTTTCTAAGATTCTTATTTATACTAATTAGAAACAGATAGAAAATGGAACGCAATGCCCAGTATAATACTAACTTTTGCCCAGATAATAAAAAACAATAAAACAGTCATGATAGTATGATTGAGTTACTTATTAATTACTCCGGTTTATAAAAACAAACACAGTAACTTTAACAAAGAACCATTAAAAACTGTTCCCAAAGTTTCGAAAGACTAAGGCTTTCTCGTACAAGGGGAAGGGCAAAACATACAAAAAATTGCCCTAAATATAAAAGATTACACTGCAATGTTATAGACAAATGATGTTAATTAAGTATAGTTTCAATGGTTCATATATGCTATGAATGAAGTAAATATAGTGTATTATGGTTGTGAAACCGATAAATTGTCTTCCCAGTTCATAGTATGAATTTTTTGTCTAGAGCCTATATATATATATAGTTCAATATGTTGTTATGCTTATGGTATGGTCCCAAATTATACTAAACTCAATCATTGCAACGAAATTTGTCACATTCCTAGCTTATATATTAGTTGTTTCAAAGTCCTGTTGTCATACATATAGTGGCGCTCTTCTCTTCTTTCGTGGACATCATTTGTCTGTCACATCGTCATGTGTTTTTTTTTAAACTAGACT